ACAGAACCTTAAGCTTAACAAGCTTAACAAGTACCTTGTAGGCTACCGATGTTGGTGTCTATTTTCAGCTACGTACATTCATTTTGCCCCCAAAAAAGTCGATCTCTCCCCCCTCGCACGAGTCCTTTCAACCAGACAGCCACTTGTAATCCATAGGGGGGGCGCAGAAAATGTTTGGAAACCACTGGGGGGTCGCAGAAGAAAAAGTTTGGGAACCACTGTGCTAACCACTAAAACTTAAATCCAAAAGCATCACAGATGTGAAACTTTTTCCCTGCTGCAAACTTTTCCACATCTTTACAACCATGTCCCCCTTTGTCCCAGTATTTACATTTTGATTGTATCATCTTTGCGTTTTATGTCTGAGAATTCATCCTTCTCATTTATTTTTTTTTTATTTGTCCTGTGAAAACAGCTGTCTTGGTCACCTGCACAAAATAGTTGGAAAATGCTATACTTTTTCAGATTTAATTGAGCTTTTTAGGGCTTGTTCAGCGGATTTCTACAGTAAATTACAACCTTCAGTGCTTTTTACACACTGAAACACTCTAAATACAATAATTCAAAACTTGACGAACAGAATGTGTTGTAATTTCCTAATTTTCTGCTGAGTTATTACAGCAAACCTTTTCTAACTCAAATTTGGGAGTCACGGTGCTTAAACTAACCCTACCATAAACGCATCCCTCTCTGCGATTGAAGGGCCTTCATCAAGGCCTTTCACTGCATGCACAGACCTGCACTGGTTTATTATTAGCACCTTTATTTCAGATTCATAGATTTGTTTTTTTGTTGTTGTTGTTTTTTACCTGTGAGATGAACTCAACTTGTTTGAACATTTTTCTTTTTCTTTTATCCTTTAGTCCATCTAGCAGACGCCAAACTCTTTTTTTTTTCTGTAGGCAAAATAAAAATGTCTCAGTTTTAAAATATTTGTGCCTAGTTACTATTCTACACTTTTCCCTCAACCTTTTATTAGTACCTTTCATTGTTTACAAATTACTGTTCAGTATAACCAAAATAAGTCGGAGGTAGATTCATAGCAGTGAGCAGCGGAGAAACGTTTGGCGCATCTCCTGCGACACATGCAGGGTTAGCGTATCGAGTGCATAGCTCAGCCGCGTTGTAGCTCTGTTCCTGTTTTCCTCCTTGTGGCTCCCGTTCGAGGCCGAACGCCTTTAGCGGGAGTCATTCTGTGTTGTGTTTCTCTGACCCCAGTCGCAGGGAAACAACAGTAAAAACAGTGTAGTAAGCAGCAGCAGCAGCACCAAAGACAGCAGCATGTCATCGTCCGCGCCAATGGTACCACATCTGTTTACGTTCACTTCCGTTGCTTTTCGTGAACTCATTTCATGTTTTCCTTCTGTTCAGCGTTTCGTTGCTCTGTGTCGCCCCCTGTGTTGAGTGAAACCTCCTCTGTCCGCGTCCTCCTCTGCCTTTCTTCCTAAAAAAAAACAACCCAAAAAAACTGACAACTTGTGGTGTTGGTGGAGAATTGGACGGCTTCAACACTTGGACAGCTGCTCTGTTTCTCCTTGTTCATATTTTACACACACACACACACACACACACACACACACACACATGCATACAGACAAATCACTTTCATTTTAAGGTTACAACAGATACTTTAGTTGAGTTCTCTCCAGCTCACCTGGGTGCCTGTATCGTAGGCCCAAAATGTGTAACCTGAGTGTTGTTACCAGTTTTGGCAAAATGTTTTTTTGTTGTTTTTTTTTGTTTTGTTTTTGGATTAAAACTAATTGTTAAGGAGGATTTCTGGGTACAACAGGAGCTTGATAAGTCGAGTGATGGATTAACTGCAGGAGGATGCAGCCCCTGTGTTTATTGATGAGATTTTAACACCAAAATGAAATGGAGTGGCTCTTGAACAAGAGAAATGGAGATTTTGCCATTTTGAGAAATTTGTAATTTGATAAAACTGAAATTAGTTTTTGTTTTGTCTTTACAACTAAAGAAAGCCGAGTCAGTTGCTTAAAGCACATTAGGAGTCTCTTATTCATGCTGTGTACAAACGTTTAAATTGTAGCAGACATTTAGTAGATGGTTTAAACAAACATTTGAGAGATTTTTCTTTGTTTTTCTTTTTTTTTTTTAGCTTGGCCCTAAAATCTGCATTGCTTCAACAAGTTGATTCCCCTCTTAAGCAAATAACCTGAATACTGTTTCTTCACACTGTTGGTGATGTGAATGTTTTGGACCTGGCGAGTCTGACCGAGAATTTATGGGAGGAGCTAAAAATTAGGGTTATGGAAGAGAGTTCTTTCAAGCTCAAAGATTTAGGGTTCGTCGTCAGAGAAATGATCCAAATACCAGAGGAAACACGGGAAACATTCCTGGTTAAAAAAAATAATTTCAAACGTTAATATGACAGCGTTGGGAATTATTCTTTGAAGATTCAAAAATATTTAAAAATAATGAAGTATTGTCTATTAGCGGTTAGCATAGTTAGCTTTGTTTCTCTGTTTATTTCCTAGAAATTAAGTCAGATTTCCAAAATGTTGCCAACATCTTCAAGTTCAAGGCTTTTTTTTCCTGATAGAGAGATTAAAAAATTAAAACGGAGTTAGCCTTCCTCTTAGCTCTTCAGAATCTTGCGTTATGTAGCCTGAAGGAATACTAGATGGAGAAAATATGATTCCCTGTTAAACAACTTTTTAAAAGCATCATTGATACTGAAAGTGACCACTTTGACTCTTTCTCTACCAACTACTTCCTTAAAGAACATGACTTCATACGATGAGTTCACTGATTAAAACAGCCGATCCAAAGTCAGGACTTTTAAAAAACATTATTTTAGTAAAATTTTAAGCAGTTCAAATACAATTCAGCAACGTTACATGTGCAGCAAACCTCTAGAAGGTAAGATTGCCCACTGTACAGGTGTCCTTTCCCCATTTCCTGTCCAAGCCTACGTTTCTTTAATCCCAAGTTAGCGAAGGGGCTGCATGTTCCCAGGTTGAGTCCGGTGCTAAATTAAACCACACACAAATGCAACTAATCTAGAATACTGTGTGTCGTGTGTTTCTTGAATCTCGGAGCGCTTGAACGTCTTTGTGCCGAATGTTTCTGTGGCCGAGGTCCAGACTGAGGAAGAGGAGTCGTCGCACAAACAGTGTGGGCATCGAACTGACGTGCAGATTTCTGATGCATCCTCACAGTTCAAGCAGGCTCACTTTGCGGACCAATAACTTTAGCTGGTGCAAGACGCTAAATTTTTATTATTTCACACTTCGCTGCCAGGTGGATAAAGCAGATATTTAATTTAAGAGGAATGATGAAGGAGGAGCTCGGTAAAGTTTTGCTCCTTGTGAATGAGCTTGAAGCTCTGCTGAGTGGAGATCTAGCCCTGCTCTGGAGGATGACCCTTCAAAATAAAACGACTTGTAAAGGAAGGGAGATGCAGCCGCATGTAGTTGGCGTTTTATCTGCTGCTTCTGATCGTGAGCTTTCCAGTCAAAATGATGCCTTTGAATATCGATGGAACCGCACACGGTTCCAACAACTTTCAGGTTATGAGTACGCATCATGAAGTCTGCACTGCATGCATGTCTTACAGAATCCTCCTCCTCAGTCATGGCCTCGTTGGTGAATGCGTGTAGTTTTTGTTCATTTCTGTGCGTTTTGGAGAGACTATTGGCCACAGAATCGGTGCGGGGGAAAACGAACTCTGTGCCTTGACAATCTACCGTAAACAGTGTCTGTGCTGTTGCTCTTGTGCCCTGCTGTGTTTGTACTTGGGATTGTTTTGTATGTCTCTGTTTTCGTGGAATATGCTGTTATTCCGTGGCATCATCCATCCCCTCCCTGCATGGTAAAGTGTCTCCTGCCTCCCCCCAGGAAGCCCAGACAACTGTTGTACACAACCCAGCAGACGGCACCAAGGTAAGCCGCTCGTCCTCCGACCTAAAGCCACCAGCCCATGCCACTGATCAGAGTACGCATTGACAAAGAAAACATCTCAGACACCAAAACATGGAGATTTAATTGTGTTTTTGTGAAGCAAAATATATTTCTGCCTCTTTTGGATTAACTTAAATTGTTTGACGCTTTATTAAATTAATAATACGTTGTTAACAATATTTTTTTGTTGTTTTTACAATCCAGTCTGCTTTGTTAAAATTGTAGTTTTCCTTTAGAAGGAAGCTGCGTAGGGTAATTATTAGTAGTTCATATCATGTATTAGATGGAGCTTAAATTGGAGAGCAGGGCCGATCAAGAGTAAATTTCTAAACTTCTCCCAAAGTCTAATATTTGCATACCTCATTAATTATACTTGACATTTGGTTACATGTAGGCCCTGATTGTTTTGCCCCTTGCTGTCACACTTTTTCTAGTTTTTAGGAGTTTGGTATCTTTTTCAGATATGAGAACGACAAACTATTGAGCTTAACTTAGAAACTATTTTTAAGGAGCCCCTTCTCCTTCACTTTTTATTGTTGTTTCACTCTACCATGTGAATTTCTAACTCATTTGAACTGCTCTTACTTGTCTGTCTGTAAATGATCTACTCAAAGAGAATTTAAGATTTGACTTGGATCATGGAAACTGTCCTGTGCTTGGTAGCAGCTAGCTTGGCAATATTGAACTATTAGCTTGACTGCACTACTTAAAATTGTAAGTGAATTTTGGATTTTAGATTATATGAACTGTTCATAAATGCTCCCCACAAGTTGGTATTTGACTTTTTTAGATCTTGGAAATGCTCTCTTCAATTAGCCCTGCTCTGTTAGCTTGACTTTGACCATTAGCTTTATTCCACCAGTTGAATATCTATCTTATTTTTCACACTGAAATTACAGTAAATGTCCAAATGTCCATAAATATTCCACACAAGAAGAATTCAAAATTTGCCTTTCATAGGTGTTATATATTCCTTTTTTAGTGAGCCCTCTGCTAGCTAGCTTACCTTTACCTAAACCTTGTCAGCTCAACTTAACCTTTCAAATTTCAAACTTACTCTTCATACTGAGATTATTCTGAAAATCCAGCTATTCTTAAGTAATCCATGCAACAGGAGTTTTTATTTTCCCACTAACCAGAAACATAGTTAAGCAAATATAAAAATCCAAATAAATGCTTTGAGATTCATCAACCAAGTAAAATAGTAAAAGAAACAAAATCCTTCATGTAGACGCTACTTTATGAACTTCTAAAGAAAATACAAATGTCAGATTTATATAACATAAAACATTTTGTGAAAATCATCTTTAACAACATCAGACTTTACTAAAACATAAACAGTCTTCTTCTCAGATTAGTTCACAAGCTCGCAAAGTGTTACTCGAACAAGATATTCTTTATGCTGACTCTATTCTCGCGTTGTCACCCGACATGCTCTTCCTCTTGAAGAGCGGTGACACGGCCGGCACACGGCCAGACATTACTTGCAATTTAAATTAATGATTAAAAATGAATCTGTCACGCTGCTGCCTTGGCGTGTGCGGGCGGCTCTGTGCGTGTCCCCTCGGCCGCCGCCTCGGCTGGTTTGTGCTCCTGGGAGGGAGACATCCACCCCTCCATCTGTCCGTCAGGTTGACTGTGTCCTCACAGGCAGTGTGTCCAGAGCTGTCCATCATGTCTCAGTCATAAAACTCAACATCAAAGAAAGACTTGCTTTTTCTCTCTCTCTCTCTCTTCCCCTCCTTCCTCCCACTCTCCTCTCGTCTTTTGTCCGTGTGTCTTTTTGTGTGAACCCTTCGTGTTTGACAGGGCTCCACAGAGAGCTGTAATAACGCCGAAGAGGAGGAGATGAAAGGTAGGAAAGGTACTTGTCCAACTTTCACGTTCTCCGCATGCTTCTTTCGGCTCACTTTATGGCATTTTCAGATCAGAGAGATGGAGAAAAAGAAAATGACAATTTGTTTCCTTCCTTTGTATTGAGGTAATGCATGACTGCAGGGTTGGTGTTTTAAGGCATCTGTCAACTCTTATTCCACAACAAAGAGCTTGGGTGAGGGCTGGGAGTCTTGAGGATTTTGTAGTGAGATGAGCATCACGGGAAAGATAAGTGTTGCATGTAAATGGTTTGCTTTTCTCTAAGAAAATAAAGTTGGGGGGGAGGGGGAAGAAACCTCATTACCAAACAACACAACGCTTCTACTCTTTATTTATGTATTTTTTGTGATAATTGTTGCTTTGTCAGACACTGAAAAATGCCAATGAAGGTTGAAAGTTCCCATTAGCAAATGTTAGGACAGGAAAGATAGGTCCAAGTTTATCATGTTGCAGTTACTTCAAGTGTTGGCACATTGAGAGTTTGCTATAAATTAATGCCACATGAAGAGTGTTTGTGATGTAAGCAGAATCAATGCAAAAATAAATTAAAAAACACCAATTCCTGAACATTGTCACCGAGTCTTCTTGAAGGATGATAAATATGTTCTCCCACTTTCTATCCATTTTTAAGGAAACTCTTCTCCATGAAAACGTGCCCCAAAGTGAATCAGGCTCCATAGAAACGCATAAATACATCTTAAATGGTCCAAATTACCAGCAGAGTTTCACATCATTGCCTCCTTAAAGCTTAGCTGCGTTCCAAAAATTGGTCTGATGTCAACTTGCGAGAGATGAACGTGACATACATCACATAATGTTGGATATGATGTGGATTACTACTTAATTACAAAGCCGAGCTGGTTCAGAAATCAGAGAAGAAATTGTAGAATGCATCTCAAACATTTACATTCTGTCATCTTTCAAAGACAAACTTTGATTTACTGGCACATTTTGTGACAGACCAAGACACAATAGTGCTTAATTGTGAAAGGGGAGCTAAATGATACATAGTTGTTGAACAGAAAATGATTGGGAAATTGCAGGTTAGACAGATCTTGAGCCCAGGAATGGCTTGGTAGGTTTTTCAGTTGTTGATCCTCTACATTTCCAGACGATTGTTTTTAAAATCTCCTCCTTAAAATGTCTCCACAACATTATCTAGGATCTTCACGATGTTCAGTAATGCTCTCTAGCAAACCTCTGAGGCCTTCACAGAACTACTGTGTTTATAGTTGGACTCGATTGACCAATTGAGCGACTTCTGAAGTCGCCTAAATGGTATTGATATCCTAATTAATATTCTGGCAAGTGGTTGGCCTGGACTTTGCTTCGGGGTAACGGGGACTGAACAGAAATGCACAGCACACTTTTCTCTGATTTTCTGTAATGAAATGGACAATTTTGCTGACAGTCTACAATTCTACACTGCTTTGCATGTCTGCTACACAAAATCTTAGTAAATACATTGGAGTTTGTGATTGTGACAAAATGTGAAAAGGTTCAAAGGAGGTGAATGCATTTGTAAAGTAGTGCAGTAATATTATTTAGTATTGTGTAATTTCCATTCCTTTCCATCCATCCTGTTTAAAACAAATGGGTAATTCCCGGATCTACAGGGAAACATCAAGGAAGGCCACTGTGAGTCAGCAGAGCCAAATGGGAACGTCCCACCTGTTTGTGTTTTGCAATGTGTTAACATTGTGTTTTCGTTTTGTTCCCGGTCCAGATGAGGTGGTGTTGAGCGTTGCTGATGTTGTCAGCTTGCATGGTGCGTTGTGCTTGAAGTGTTGGTGGGATTTCGCAGTTTCCTCCTCGTTGTGTCATTTCAAATGACCAACTGGGATATTTATATCCTGCGGGCTTGCTTATTGTCTTCAGGCTGCCTGTCGGTGGACCATCTGTGTGTGTTTTGTGTGTTTGTCTTGACAAACAGCAGTGGCTGCTGGTACAGAGAGTTCAGGGACAGGGCAGAGCAGCAGACCGCATCTCCTCACCGTCCACCTGTAAGCCAGCAGGTTATTTTCTGTTCCAGTCTTCCTTCTACAGCCAACTTCGATTTTTCATCATTTACCCCGAATTCCTTTCTAAATGGTCACCGTTTAAAAAGGAAGTAAAGGAGTCCTCCTTCCTTCTTTTTAATCTCAACCTAATTTGTTTCTGCTCCCTATCCTGCATTGCCATCTGCTGGCATGATGATATAACTGCAGTTTTCTGCTTCTCAGTTTTCTTTTTAAATCGCTGTAAATATCGACTGTGTGCTATAAAGCTCAGAGGCCATTCATATAATTGGACCAAATGCACTTGATATGCGGTTGGTTCCGGGCCCACGCCGGGGTCCGATCAATCAGACTTCAAGCTGCAGGCGAGTAAGTGACAGGACGAGCGTTAAGGGCCTGTGTGACGCCTTAGACAGCAGGCTGGAAATGGTTTGTTGGAGATTTATCTGCCTATTTTGCCTACGCCTGATGGAAGACTTTATGGACAAACGTACATGCAGATGTTAAGGTATTTTCTGCAGCAAAAGGTTTTCTTTTTTTAGTTCGCTTTGCTCGTTTACTCCTTTGTAACAGCTCAGGGTGTCCGCGCGTCCTTAAATTCATTCATCTAAAATTAAGGTCTTAAATTTTCAAGTTTGCCTTTAATAATATACTGCTAAAAAAAATAAAGGGAACATTTCACTTTAATTTTGTGTGTGGCTCCAAATCCAGGCCTCCATTGGTTAATAAATTTGATTTCCATTGATGATTTTTGTGTGATTTTGTTGTCAGCACATTCAACTTTGTACAGAACAAAGTATTCAATGAGAATATTTCATTCATTCAGATCTAGGATGTGTTATTTGAGTGTTCCCTTTATTTTTTTGAGCAGTGTATAATGGGAGTTTTAAAAATTTGTCTTGATGGGACGTTTTCATATATTCAGTGTTTTTTTTTTGTGTGTGTGTAATTTTTCTGTCAGACAAAAGTTTAAGTTGCACTCAGACATTTTCTTTAAGTTCTGAGTCGAGACGGTTGAGGCTACTGCTAAGTAACTACTAGCACACCTTTGCTAGCCAGCTAGATTTTCTTGTGTCTGTCATGGGTTAGTGAAAATTTACAACCAGTTGGGCGGATGAAGTTTACCCAATTCTGTGTTGATATAGGTATTACATGTTCTCAACAGGATAACTGTTTGGGTATTTTTCAATCTCTTTTACCCACTTCCTGGTAGCTGAGTGTGCCTTCCCAAACTGAAGTGTGTTTGGTGTGTTTTGAAGTGGTTTTAAAGTCGAGGCGGAGCGGTGTGGTTTAACCTCCAGACGCTTCCTGACTTTCTGTAACATTTTCTGGTTGTGTGCCCCTCCTCCTCCTGTTTCTGCTTCAGCTCGGAAACAAGAGATAATAAAGATGACGGAGCAGCTAATTGAAGCCATCAACAATGGAGATTTTGATGCTTACACGTACGTTTTTTTTTTATTGATTTGTCATTGCCTGGGCAACCTGTGGAATAGATTTAGTTTTGGTTGACTCTGTAGGTCAGTAAGTAGTGATTTGTCTTCCTGCAGGAGAATCTGTGATCCTGGACTGACTTCTTTTGAGCCAGAAGCTCTTGGAAACCTGGTGGAGGGCATGGACTTTCACAAATTCTACTTTGAGAATCGTAAGCTCCTCAAACTCTTTACCGTTTAGTATTATACCTGGTATATATACAAAATCCTATGTGAGGGGGGAAGCATGCATTTTTTTCCCCTTTGGTTGGTTCATGTCCCATAAACACGAGTCGATTTTAACATGCTACTTTCATCTTCCAGTTATTTCAACAAGCCACTTGCGTGTCTTTTACCAAAACTCCCCGTTTTTCAAAAACCACCTACATCGGGTTTGCTCCTTTTGTGTTGTTGCAGTTCTGAGTAAAAACAGCAAACCGGTCCACACCACCATCCTCAACCCCCACGTGCATCTGATCGGCGAGGACGCCGCCTGCATCGCCTACATCCGCCTGACGCAGTACATGGACAGCCAGGGGCGGCCTCGATCCTGCCAATCGGAAGAGACCCGCGTGTGGCATCGGCGCGACGCCAAGTGGCTCAACGTTCACTTCCACTGTTCAGGAGCACCGGCTGCACCGCTGCAGTGAACGGACAGCCCAGGCCCAGGTGAGGCAGCAGCGGCACAGAGAGGGGTTCAGCACCTGGTTTATGTCGCGTTTGACCACCATGATGAGCAGGGAGCCTAGAAACCACCAAGCCTGTGCAGGTGTGTTCAGGCCTCCTGTCACCGTCGTCCTTTGCTATTGTGCAGCCACACGAATTACCTGTGAATCCTGGCAAAGTTTCATTTATTTACTCCGAATTTTAGCTAGCACTGGATGGTAATTTTTTTTTTTTTTTTTCAATCAAATTTAGCGTTTTTCATAATTAAATTTTTGGGAAATCTGAATTCTTTTGTTAAAGATGCACACCTCTTGGGTTTTCGTAGTTCACTGTGATGTCGGCACGCTCAGGGCGGCCATCTTGTTTGAGAAGCACGTTTTTACGGGCTTTTGCTTATTTAGACTTTGAAGTCGACTCTCCAACAGAGTTCTAGAGCTGGGCTATGATTTTTATTTTATTTTTTTATTGTGAGAAAAAGTTAGAATATTACCAGAACATTATGAAAGTTAAATAGTAATTTTATGAGAACTCCAACATGAAAAATAAAGAATAACATGTGGAATGTTGAGCATCTTGTGACGATATACTTTATCTGTTTTACAGATAAGGTAATACTTCATTGCTTAACACGTCATCAAATTATTACCAGGAGCAGGATATTTTTTTTTTCTTTTAGGAAAGAAACAAACAAAAAATAAGATTTTAAATTAGATCTGGTATGGAAAAAAAATGAGAAATTTTATGTTCAAGCCGTGTTTTCTGTGTGCGACACAGAAACTCCCACAAAATCTACCACATCTATGCAAAATACTCCATGCACTGACCTGCAAATATGAACGGCACACATTCGCAAAATGTTTGCCTTTCACTCCACTCTACGTTTCACTACATAGTTTGACAAGCGTGCTGTGAGCTAGCTGCGCAGAGACTAACATTTTTTATTTATTTATTTTTTTTTCCCTCTCCAGGTTTGCCTGAACTTTAAAGCTACTTTTCTTTCCCTCCGAGGTCGGAGTGGAACCTGGATCCTGGCTGGGACGAGGCTGCACGGGATACTCAAAAGTGGGGAAAATATTACAATTTTTGAAAAGTAAAGAAAACAAAACAAAACAAAAAAAAACACGTTGACAATAAAAAAAGTTTCAAAAGCTTGAATGACCAACACCGACCAGTCCATCCCTTACTAGATGTTGATGATGATGAGGGGCTCAGCTGTTGGGGGCCCTGCCTTGCAGACGGTGCATGCTTCTGATGGCTACACAGGGGTGATGCTGTCCTTGTTCTCCCACTGCTTTTGTTTTTTTTTTCCTTCTCCCTCCTCCCCTGGTCTTGGATTTGTTTGAGTGTTAGAAATATAAATATTCATCACCACTTCGAAATATTTCCTGGGGCAGCGGGAATGTTTGGAATGATGTGGTCACTTTGGGCCGAAGCAGAGCCGCTAAGTGCTTACTTTAACGCAAGTATTGTTTGTGTTCGAGTTATCTGGGATATGGATGTGCTGGTAAGGTTCATGGGAATGAGTGACTAACGTGCTTAATGTCAGGTTGGTTTAGGAGTCGGGTTTTAGCCCCTGCAGTGTTTTAACTCCATGTTACCGAAGGGACCTTTTAGTTTGTTTTTTTGGTTTGTTTCCTTTTTATATGTTGAGAGCTTGTCACTTTCTAGTTGAGGGTTAATTTCTTTTAAAGCATTCTGGGTTGACTTTTTTTTTTTTAAGAAAAATGGGTTTTATTTAATAGAACTGTCTATAAAGAGATATTTATATTGAGGAACCTAGGGAAAATTAATTGCTTTGTGGATGTAGGAAGGGAACTTGTGCAGGAGATTTTTATTTTATTTTAAATTCAAGCTGTAAATACAAAAAGATATTGCCACACAACCTGCATGCACACACACGCTCGCAGTGGCCCTCCCTCCCCCCTGCTCCTTTAAGGTCAAGCTTTTTTAGATGTGTCGTTTGAGGGCCGGCTGTCCTGAAGTTGCAGAAGGACTCCCCCCATCTGTTTGGTCTGCAACGATTCAATCCAAACACAAGGTGGGAGCGTTGGCGAAAATCTGAACCTTGCCCTAAAATGTCCAAATCTGAACATCAAGTAGGCGTCGTGGACGCTCTCTTGGTTTCATGTTTGTGTGTTTTTAAAGGTAAAGCATGATTTCTCCAGCTAGCCATTGGCCTGTACTGTTTTTTTTTTTTTTTTTTGTTTGCACACTTAAAGACTCGATCCTGTTGCTCTTCTGAAGGAGTGAACCTTTCTGCAACTCCAGGTTACACTTGCCAAAAAGTCTCACCGCCTCACTCTACCTCTGCCCCCTCTTCTTCCATCGTTGACCTTCACCAAGCGGTCCCATTGCCGTCGTAACGCCACATGACGTAGTCGAACCAGTCTTTTGTTTGGTCGTGTTCTAAACTGTATGTCGTCGGTCTTGGCTCGTTGTACTTCGGTGTGAAGTCCTGCTAATGTAAAACGGGTTGCAGCAGAGGGATTTGATGGGAAGAGGGCTACAATCAGGACCTTCACTGACGCTAATCAGTGGGATCTGGAACTTTTTTTTTTTTTTTGAAATCGGTCTGTTCTAAATGTTGTGGTCATAAATGTTTCAATGTTTGCATTTCAATGTTTCTAGGTTGAAAATAAAAGGAGCAGGTGACTTTTTAAACGATACGGAGAAGTCGTTATATGAACTGTTGTCTCCAGTCTGGATCACAGCATGACAGAAGCACACAAGATCAAAGATTCCCTCATCGGGGGCGGGGGGAAAGGACAAGAACGCACGTGTGTGTCTGTGTTTGTTCCACGGTGTCGTCTGAACTTTGTGTGACTGTATCAGCAAATGAGTAAGGCTTGTTGAGCGTCTGTCCTGCGCCAGGCTGCTCCACGGTAACTCGCGCTATAAATCGGCTGACGCTTCTGACCACGACGTTGTGTGTGTGTGTGTGTGGTCGAGCGAACTTTTAAGAAAAGAAAACCGTCTGTGAGCCTCGCCTTGTTGTTCAAACTGCCTGTGCTTCTGTTCGACGTATCCGAGATGCCATGAAAACTTGTGTCCACTCCTCCACCCTTTTGCACCACCACGCTTTGTAAATCTGAATCTGTGTGATGTTTTTTATGCTTCTGAGTAACTTGTTTGTGCTGTGGGCACCGGCCTGGTTGTGTGTTGATGCCACCAATCTGAAAATGTATTTTTTTATTTTGATAATTGTATGTGGATAAATTCCCATACACAAATAGGAAGATTGAAACGAGGGGGGTAATAAAATAAAAGAGGAAGGTTCAAGCACATTGAAGAGGCTAGCTGTAGAGTTGAGGGGTGTACTATGAAGCCATAGGCAATGCATTTGAAAACTGAGCGTAATGAAACATAAAGGTTATCACATTCACATGTACAGGTTTTGGATTAAAGTTATGTTGTGACCAGCTAATGAGTAAAAGTCAAATTTAAATGTTAGACCATGCTGAATATGTACACAATTAGTGATGGTAAATTACAAGCATCACAGTCGGGGCAGACAAATGTTAGTTATTTTAGCTAATGTTTCAATCCTTAGAATAAAATATTCAAAGCGGTCAAGTAAAACTGATTTAGCAAATTATAGAACTGCTGAGGAACTTCAGATGAGATTAACAGCTGTAGATTCATATCCATCAGACAAAGCTGAGCAGTGGCGGTACATGCTGCAGTTTCATCTTTAATTGCTGATGTGATTTTTTTTTTTTTTCACTAAAAGGCAGAAATAGTCTTTGAAATTTACTCTGGTCAGACTTGTAGCTCACAATGATTAAATTGATTTGAATAAATTAAGAAACTTGTCAAATGAAAACATTGCCGAGTGATGGCTTTACCCCAAATTCAATGATGCCGTGGTTAATTTTTTTTTATTTTTTCTTAGATGTTTTACTTGTGATGATTTAACTGTACTTGTCAGAATCTGCTTTTGCTAACCGTCGCTGGTAAGCATGCAAGATCGATTTCATCAACATGGTCGCTATCGAAAGTAATCATGTACATCTTTGAAATAAGTGCATATCGGCTGATGGTTTGCAGTGACGGGGAACACATGCGAAAGCAAAAGACACAATACAAAATATTTTCTTATCCAGTAAAACCTTATGCTCACAAACATCACAGTCACCTTGATGGTCAGACTGTTGACTCCCTTCTTGAAATATACTTTGCAGCTGTGCCATGAGCCATTTTGTCCCCCCTTCCCTTTTTTTTGTACACTGCTCAAAAAAATAAAGGGAACACTCAAATAACACATCCTAGATCTGAATGAATGAAATATTCTCATTGAATACTTTCTGTACAAAGTTGAATGTGCTAACAAAATCACACAAAAATCAATGGAAATCAAATTAACCAATGGAGGCCTGGATTTGGAGCCACACACAAAATTAAAGTGAACTGTTCCCTTTATTTTTTTGAGCAGTATATTTAAAAATAAGACTAAAATGTAATGTTGAACCATTTCTGAGCGATGAGGCTACTTGCTCTAAAATATTTGCCGTTCATTGTCCATTTGCTGATTGTACAGCTAAAACAGCACAAGTAAGAGTCCGTTTTGCGCTAATGCAAAGTTTCAAGAAGTTCTTCTGGCTTTAAAAAGAACATGACAAACATGAATTTAACAGAAATGGGCAGAGTTGTGGATGCACTTATCGTCGACAGATGGATGGTCGGTCTGGTCTCGTCTTTCACTGAATTTTCAGTTTTATGGCTTTTTTTTTTCCAGGTATGTTCCAGATTTTCTGTCAAAAATATTGATGCTTCACAGTCGGTGCTTAAACCTGAAACTGAAAGCCTCAGCACTACGAAACATTTGTTAGTCTTTTCCTGTCAGTTAAAACAGTCTGGCTGTATGAAACCTGCTTCGTTTTATACTCGCTGAACCAGTATAAGGTGAGACACCATTTGTCAAAGTATTTAGAACAACCTTGGTCTTTTACACCAACTTTACATCGTTGAAGTTACTAAAATAAAATCCACAGTAGTCCACCATATTAGGAAAACTTTTTCCTTTTGGGGCATATGTAAGATTACTACTACATACTAAATTATAGCAAGTTTATCCCTTAATCTTTAATTACACAGATGATTTACTGTGATTTAAAAAATATAAGTGGTGTTTACCCTTTGAGTTTCCCCTCTACTGATTTCATGTAAGTGGGAGAGGGAAAATGAGACAGTATCTAAAATACAAAAAGATATCAAAGCACAAAAGTCAAAAGTAAAGCTCGATTTTTACGGTACCTTGTAAGTATGCCTGCCTAACTCCAGAAACCAACCGGATGGGACAAGATGGTGAAAGTGCACCTGGCAATTCCAGGGTTTTAATATTTAAACTGTCAGACCTTTACAAGGTTCGTCATCATGTAACTAACCTCCACATGCACAAATCCATCCACCGTAGTTTTCTCCATGTCGTTATCTAGCAAACGTGAAGCCAAACATGAAGGATATGTGAAAGAAAGCACACACGCCTGAGAATTTTAAAGGTCTTACTTTTCCATTTTTAAAAAACGTCAAAGTTCAAACTGGTTCAAATACTTTGGCAAATGCTGAACATGCTTTCTTCAAAACTGTAAAGTGAAATCTGGGAATACATGCTACAAACATCTTGGGGGTGGAGGCTTTAGAGTAAAAAGGGAAAAAAAACTGAACACTATATATGCAGTTTTACAAATGGAACAAATATGCATGTACGTCTACTTTCTGGTAATTTTTCACTGTTGACTTGATAAAGAAATGGAAATTTATTTGCATCCACCAAGTTATGAAATGGTTGTCAGATATATAAATATAAAAGTGTTATTCCACATAAAAAAATCATTAAAGATTAGCTGAAGCCTTAGCTTGATTGTGCTCCTTTTAAAGTTGATACATTGCATTGTGACCTTACAAACAGAAGGGGCTACATGTGTCTAAATTCAAATGGATGCTGGATTTTTTTTGCATGACTAAACAAATAAAATCCTACAACAAAAAAAATGGTTTCTTGTTTTGACTTGAGAAATAAAGTAACCAAAAGATATTTATCTTCCTAGCATGCAGGTCTGATCTGGAGGAATTATACCTACACTGATGTACAGATCTAGAATCCTACAATTATCTGTCCTGGACCTTTTAAGAATTCAGGTTTCATTGTTCACCAAACAAAACATTTTTCTTAAATCTATAAACATGTCCCGAGTATAAGGCTCTTATTTCTCCGGCTAAAACTCAACTGGGCCAGTCGTTCCTAAATCACTGTCATAACGTGCTTAAGGAGACAAACACAGTACTCTTGATGATTTTTAATTACACCAAATGGAGACATGTAAAAGTGGAAAAGGAGAAAACATCAGGTCTCATTGTCACCATCATGTTCAACACAACAGAAACGTGGACGTGTTCTGCAGGCAGGAGGCGGGTCACCTGCTCCAGTCGGACACAGAGCCTTTCCAGAAGTTTACACTCAACACCGTTTAGTCTTAGTGATTTCTGTACATCAGAGCAGGAGAGGAACTATTAATGACTACCATGTGGTTAACTGTATGACAGAGGAGGATTTTAGTGGAGATAAACAGTGTGTTGGGTCATAAACATCGTCTCCTAGGCAACCTGAACATTCCCAGGCTCAGTCCCTCTCCCTCTCAAACCAACACACCAAAAACTTTCATGGTTTTATGTCCCACCGCATCTGGCTTCTAAACCGTCGCACCCCATCCTCTTCTTGGTCGGATTAAGAAAGTGGAATGATTGATTGCTCCATGCAGATAGTTATTCTTCAGTGTAAAACAGAAGCTGGAACAGTTTTTGTTTTTCTTTGTGCTGACATGCTTCAAGTTTTTAAAGAGTGTCCTGTTTAAAGAATGTAGTTGTGGCTTCAGGCAGAAGACGATCCATCTGGCGTTGAAGATACGAAGAAGATCTGGGGAAAGGAGTCCTCAAGTCTGAGTTGAGATTGCCTTTTTTTGGCTGTTGTGTGAACATTGGCACTTAAATCAGTTCACAGAGACTAACTAGTGCGCATCATAGATCTGCCACGTTGGAGTAAAGTGGCAAACTGTCGCAGCAGTCTTTAAGGTGGTGGGGGGAAATGTCATTGTGATATTTGTAGTATGTTGCTTCCTTGATTCAAGGAAAAGAAAAACAGAGAAGGAAGCCACTTTTCTCCACTAAAGTGTCCTGGATCTCCTAAAGAAACAGTTGAATCTGGGACATACAATCTTTTCTCACTGTAGATGGCTGCAGAAGATTAGCTCTACATAGCTTCAGACACACAGCTCCAAGGTCACCTTTCTCTGAGTCGCACACAAGCAAAGAGAAGTGCAAACAATTGGAAAAGAAAGACAAGTTACAAGAAAACTGGCAAGAAAATAGAGCAAAACTACTAAGAGAAAACAAAAAAGTTTCACTGTACCAGTAAACATTACAGAGCCCCCTAGTGGACAAGGGGGATTTTTCTTTTCGTTTTTAGCGTTACCTCGGAAAAGTATTGCATTCCCACACAATACTTTTTGCGTTACCTCACTGTAATGTTTTTAGTAGTCAGTTCATGCGGCATCTTGAATATTGAAAGTCTTTCTCCTACAATTTAAGGTTTTTCCATGAAGGAATTCTATGCTCATATCTCCTTTGAGTTATCCAACATGTTTATATCTTTATCTTTTGGATGAACACAGGTCAAACATGAGCTTTCCATTCCTACTGAAAAGAAAGACATCCAAACTATTTGAATTTGTTATTGCTGTGACTATACAAAACAGGCTAGGGTGCATTTGCAAATTTATTACGAGTGGGCGCAATATTTTTGTGAGGCAACGCAAAAAAAAAAAGAAAAAAAACAAAAAAGAAAAAATAATCCCCCCATCCTTCCCTAGGGAGCTCTGTTAAACATGAATGCAACAAGGAGATTAAGAGAAGCAGCAGCTAGCCTGGGACTACATGCAAACAGGGAAGGAGCAAAGCCATGCAGCAGCCTGATTAAGACCCAGAAGTCACATCATTATACACCGACACAAGACAGCATGATGGAGGGAGACTGCGTTGTTTCCAAGAGCTTCACTTGGTGAGTCAAGACAACAGGCAGCGTAGTGAAAAATGGACCATATGCCAAGTAGGCCGGGTCCAATGAAAACCCCTGAGCAGGCGTTTGGCACCGCAGGAACAGTGAGGGGAGGAGGAGGGGGTGGGGGGGCGCTTTCAGGGAAGCAGGGGGTAGAAAGTGCACAGCATGATGGGAGACATCTGTTACACAACCACGTTGTAGGGGTTCCCATGGAGACGAAACTGACCCAACAATTTTTCATCCAGCGCTCACTCACCACGCGCTCGCAGCATGGTAGCGGACGGGCGAGGGCTCAGCAGCTTTGCTGCGGCTCCCCGCTTCTGCTTTTAGACTTTCTGCCCTCCACATCTGTAGGATAAAGGCAATGTTTATGACACATCTGTAAAAAAAAAACCAAACCACTTTCATCAACTTCATCAATGCATATAGTGTCCATTCAGATAAATATATTTAAGAGTAAAATAGCACCTACAAAAGCAGAAATAAATAAAAACTCTAAATGCAAATAAGTTTGGCACGATGAGCGATGTTTATCTTTTGATTATATAAATTACTAACTTTGTACAAAATGTGGCCGAGTCTAGAGCACTAACATGACCCTTTCTAGAGTGTGGTGCATTAAGAGCAATAAAAGGAAAAAGGATAAAAATCAAAAATGAAATGATGCATGCTTCATTGACAAAATAATCAAAAACTCGTTAACCTTCATTTTCCACCTTGCATTTAACAGCTGCCATACTCAGTCGAAATCTAAAAGGTAAATTTCACCAAGGTAATGCTACGATCCGGTCCCTTCGCCGTCAACTTTCACTTGTCCCTTTAATGACACCCAGAGATCATTTTGAGAAAGAAGATGCATCATTTTGTCACCAGCCCCAGAGATTAGTTGGAGCCCACAAACGCCACAACCCACCACCAATCCAGTAAAGCCTCCAGTTCAGATATATGTACACATGAAATTGAAAAAAGAAAGAAAAAAAAAACATTAAATGCACAAAAACAGTGCACACGTCAACAAAAAAATTAAATTTAAAATCCATTTTGATTCCCACTATCAAAATTGCTGTTTTAACTCAGGCTGACAGAACAAAGCCATGCAGTTTAGTGAACAACGCAAACCGTGGAAAACACTCTGGTAGTAAATCACACCACAAAGTGGGAGGCGAGTCCATCATGACAAAGCTGCTTCAGTGTCACAGGGACAGTTACTTGGGACAGCAAAAGGTTCTGCTGGCTTTAACGGATCTTTGAGAAACGAACAGGCCTTGTGTGATGGCCATGTAAAAATAAAAATAAAGAGCAAAACCATTTTTAACCACTTTGATGAGCAAACACGATAACGGCTTTTTGGACGGAGGAGAGTTCAAAGTCCCACCCAAGTAAGAAAAAAAAAAAGAAAAGGTAAAGCATTCAGCACCATGACAAACAGAAAATGACCTTAATGCACCAAATAATAATAATAATAAAAAAAATTGTGCTCTGACATGCAGGAAAGGAAGATTAGTTCATCCAATGATTTCGTTCTCCAGCTCTAGAAGAAGTTCTGATCGTCTGGTGAGAAACCTTCGGGTGACTCACACACAGCCGTACTCGTACCACAGAGACTGGCTCTCCTCTGGGCTCAGAGTCTGCTCTGACTCAGCAACGCTACTTGGACCAATACCATCATCGTACGCCGTCAGGCGGGCTGAGCTGGACCTCATCGGGCCATTGGACTGACTGTGGGGGCTCTGGTTCGGCCCGGGGCGAGGCTGGGCCGGGGGCCCGCTGATGTTGCTGACTAGGGTGGGGTTCAGAGACAGGAAGGGGAGATTTTCTGCTGACTCGCTAAAGATGGAGTCCATGAACACCGACTCTGCGGTGAAGGAGGGGCCGAGGAAAGACTCGAGGCTGTCGAGGTCGGGGTCCTCTGAGCTGTGGCAGGGTAGGCTGACTGATTTGGGCATGGGGGAGGCGATGTTGGGGTGGTACTCACTGGGTGTCGGCTGCGAGCGTACTCCAGCCTTTGGGGAGGGGGCGTGAGGAGAGGCGTCAACAGACACGGGCTGCCGGTGGTCTTTGGACAGTAGGTCATGGATGCTGGTGCGCCTTGTGGTACCTTCGGCTGTCGAGATGACGCTGCTGGCCCGGGGCAGCGTGGAGGAGGAGGCGGCGGAGTCCAGGCGCTCGGAGACGGACGTGGCTTTCCCCTGGGAGGACAGGGTGGGGCGGAGAGGGGCGGAGCCTCTGACACGCGTGCTCTCGGCTTTCCGCAGGCTCGGCCGGCCGGGCTGTCCCGAGGACTTCAGAGCCCGGTCGGCACTGGTCGGCGCCGCTCTCCCACTGCTGGAGCGTAAAATGCCCCGCGCCTTGGTGGAGGCGCGATCTTTCAGAGCGTGCTCAGAAAACGCGGAGAGGCGAGGGGAATCCACCGTGAGGTTCTCCTGACTGCCAGACTACAGAAAAATAAAAAAAATAAAAAATCAAGACCAGGGCGTTCAAAACCTCTGAAAGTCCTCTGTTTTGAAGTGCTTTGAAACGATTATTCATGATTAGTTGCATTAATTGTGGCTATTCATGATTAACCGATTATTAAAATAATCGTCAGCTAATTTAGTAAACTGATAAATTGTTAAATTTGATGGGGGAAAAAACATATTCAGAGGATTAAATCAAAACTGAACAAATAAAATGTACACATTTAGCATTTATGATAAAAAACACCTTAGACTGTAAATGTGCTTAGCCAAATCTCCTCAAATTACGAGCATTCATCTTTTAAATACTCTTCAGAATAAGAGTCGTGCTCTTTTCTCAGAACTATGACGACCCAACAATAAAATCGATGCAAACTGTCAACACCTGAGTTAGTAACTTGAACTTTATAAAGTTTATCGTCTTCAGAATAAAAGCCCTAATATTTTATAGGCGAGATTATTGCAAAAGTGGATTCCACATTAATGATGAAGCTAAGAGCATCATTCTGTTGACCTTTGAAAATAACGCTCAGACACATGTTGCTTTTTCATACGTTGGTTAATACAAATATAGTTTCCCAATAGGCTTTAAAGCCCAAAGCTGATTTATGTAGGTCCAAAACTAGTGACGTAAACAGCATTATTTTGGATCATAAACCTAAAAACAAACAAGGTTCTATGGCTTCAGCTTCTGAATTCATTCTGCAGCATTCTCCTATAACGTGATGCAATTGGGGAAAAAAAGTGCAACATAATCACATTCCGAACCCTCACCTCTGCAGGATCAATACCCTCATCTAGGAACTGCTGCAGGGACAGAACCTCGCTGGAGGATCCCGTCTTCCTGGTCTGTGCCTGAGCGGAGACGGCGGCGGTGCCGGACGGCTCCAGGGACCTGCGCAGCTGCAGGGGGCTCTGGTGGGAGGAGCGCAAGGAGGCGGGCTGCTGGACGGGGCTGCTGCCGCTGCTGGACCACACCTCCTGGTCCAGGCTCAAGCTGAACTCCCCGCTGCTCTCACTCTGAGGCCTGCTAAGACTGCCATTCAGCGCGCCTGTGGGAGGGAAACGAGTTGAGAAAGAAGGCAGAAATTATGCCTCGATCCCAATGAGGTTTTCTGAAGCAAACAGCTTCAATATCAACACATTTTTCGTTTAAAAAGCATCAGGAAAGGTCAGCATCGTCCGATCACATTTCATATTGTTTGAAGTAAAGCAAAGACTAGGGATGCACATAACTGTGCGTCCTAGTAATTAATTGCCAGTCAGTCAATAAGATCAATCAACTGTAGATTAACTCATCATTAACTTGCATCCCTACTGAAGACGTTAGTGGAGAGGACTACAGCTAAAGGGAAGATGGAAGAGCGTACCTTTGCCCTCCAGAGGAGAGGTGAGGTGAGAGTTATTGTTACTATTGCTACTTGTCCTGTTGCTATGAAGGCTGGAGGGTCTGGAGGCTGGGTAGAGGACGAGAGGGGAGGTGAACACACATTCACAGTTAGGATTTACAGCGGCTTACACGTATCCACCAACGTGCACTGACACAGGGGGTAACGCGTGGGAGCACGTCAACAGTCCGACAGAGCGTCACCTGCTGGGGCGGCAGATGGCTCGTGCCAGGCTGAGGGACAGGAAGGGCGGCTCAGTGCCAGACTACAGCACCAATATGTCCATCCAAGAAGACAAAGAGACCACTGACGGAGAGGGAAGGAACACCTAAATGGAAAGACCGCTCCAGTGGAGGCGAAAGGGGGATGTTATCGATGCCAGTGAGAGCTTGTTAGTCAAAACGAGAAGCGGATGAAAAAGAATGAAAAGGAACACGAGAACATTTTTATCTTGTGCTCTCCTGTTCCCATGGCGGTTAGTTTGAAAAGGAAAGCCGGCGCAGGTGAAACCGTCTCAGACTGTAGCTACGCTTCCATTACCAACGTGCGCAAAAACGTTGTCGATATTCCGCCAATGTCGAAAAAACACAATTTCGCAATTGCAGCATTCCCGTTTAAGAAAACACAAGTGAGATCAGACATGAGTACGTTTGTTCACACGTTAAGTCTTGTTTTTTAATGACTACCATCCTACCACTCCCTGTTGTCTTTTCAGCCAGAAGTAACATCTGGTTGTTCAATTTTGGTGAATACACCAATGTTAATACAGTCAAAAAGTCGCCTGGTTAGGGTAGGGCTAGGGTAAAAACCTTTTTATCAAAAAACTTAAGGTTTTTTCGACATTGGTCTGTTTCCATTAAGCAAACTTATTTTCGTAATTTCCATCTGCGCAATTATATGGTCAATGGAAACGCAGCTTGTGCTTCATGATACAAGTGACACCAAATTAGAGGCAAATTCAACACTTAAAATCAACACAGGTGTTATTTGTAGAAAACCTTCACTGTAGCCCAAAGTGATGATCTCTGCACAGTAAACGGGACTTACTACAGATGCTACAGGGAACTCTGCACATAGCCTTCAGCTCAACAGGACGACACAAAGCAAGAGCACTGCTAGACCCCTGCCGGCCTAATAAGACACACGCACACACATACATAATGCAACACATCTACACGGTGGAATCTGAAATGTTTAATGGACATCAAACTTGTTAATATATAATAATGCTGGGGGAAAAAAACAGAGGCAGCCAAAAGTATTGCTCCATAAATCAATAGATGCCTCAGACATGAACCTGATGCATTAGAACTAATGAGTGGAGGATGAGTAAGACCGGATGTCCATTTCCTTAATGCCATTATAAGAATGCAGTGGGAAGTGGGTTTCAAAAGACTGCATTTTATTTTGTAAATGCATTATGGGAACTCTTCTTAAAGTAATCGGCAGAGCAATAGTATAATGCAAAACAAATTTAATAACATGGCAAAGTTAGGTTCAAAGTAGATATTTTGTCAACACAAAAAGAAAAAAAATTTTTTTTGAGTAAAATACACTGAAAAACGAAACGGGACCACTACTAATAACCACGTTTTAGCTAGTTTAAGTGCAAGTGATGTGTAACAACATATTTGAGCAGCACAGGCTTGAGAAATCTCTGCCTGGCTGCTGGACAACATCCAAAAGCCTGAATTACACAGTTTTACTTTACCCTGACCAGGATCTCTCAACTAAAATTAAATCAGAAGATCATGCTTAATAAAAGCAACATCAGGGAGTTTAGCAGAGGACATGGCGTTCTTTTTTTCTGGATCTGCTCAGTTTTCTGACAGCTACTAGCCACACTTGTCTTACTGACCCATTTGATTGGCCATTATCCAGTTTTCATGTCGATCTTACCTTGACTCTTCGGGTCATCTAAGGAACCAGCAACATCCTCACATGAGGCATTGTCTGTGGAGACAAAGTTAAACATTTCCACATTCAGTGAGGGTTTAAAAAAAGAAGACAGAGGAAGTACAAAGGGCTGTAGGAACCCATTTGAAATGAATTAACTTGCTGTGTCATGTCAAGACAGTGAGATGTAAAGCAGATCACAGGAAAACGAAAAACAACAGAGTTGCTCTATTTTTTGGGAGCTTGGAAGCTTCCCTTACTAAACATGCTGCACTTATTCTTGCCTACATTCTAGTAAATAAATATGAACTGCTGTTTTAGTAAGCTAGCCTCACTGACGGCTAATACAAGATACTAAGGGTTGCTTGAAATGGTAGCACTCAAAGATTGTTTTTCTTTAAAATAGTGAATTCATTCTTTACAACTAGCCTTTTACATAAAGCAGCGTGATGCCATTTGTGTTCCCAATATAAATAACTAATGATCGCTCGCCACAGAAAATCTACAAAAATAATCTGAAAGCTGGTTTTATAGCTTTTACATTGTAGTTCTTAAAGAGAAACTGAAATGTGTCAAATCCATATAGCTTAAAATCTACAAATTGGATATCAGAAACGATATTCTTAATGTTGCATCAATAACAATAATTAAAAAAACAAAACAAAAAAACTTTTTACTTTAATTTGGTTTCTCACCTTTGACCTGAAGCTGGAGCTTAGCCCGCCTCGCAGACGGCAGTGTTAGTGCAGCGCAGTCGATGGCGTTAGTGGACAGGGCCAGCTCCTTCATGCGCTGTCCGCTGCGCCTGCTGCTGCCCGTCATGCCGCCGTCTCCTGCTTCAGGTCCGTCAAGATTCTCCGTGCTGCCCGCCCACTGTGACCCGGAAACACCGGCCACCGCCATCGTCTGCAGCAAGTCGTTCATAGCTGAGTGGACGGACGAAAAGAGGATGTTACAGAAAATAACTTGCAGTAATTGAATGTTTTATATATATATATATATATATATATATATATATATATATATATATATATATATATATGTTTAGAAAATATATAAATTCATAAAATATGTAAAATATCTAAATATAAATATATGTTTTAGAAAATCAGTTTGTGTTTATATCTATTTAAAAAGTCCCTGATTTCCCCCAAATCTAGTTCAAAATGACTAAAGGCATTTATATCCATATAAAAAAATATTGTTTTGTTGTAAGTGACAACACAGCAATCATGACTGTTTGTAAAAGAATTTAAAAAACACGTCAAATTATAAATGGGAATTGAAATATGCCACCAATTGTCTGTGCTAAAATGCAAATAGTCGTCTTTTAGTTTGTTTAGAATATTTAACCACAACATTTTCCCCTAGAGATTAGAGCTGCCTCCTTAAATATTGGTTTTGAACATTTTTCCCCCAAAATGGATTTTAATGTAGCTTAATCTTTTCAGAGCAACACTCAGATTTATAAATCCAGCCAAGAACTGCCATTTACTGAGACATATTTCTTACACTTGGAAGCAGGTTTATTCATATCAAACATCATTATGATCTTACAGCACAAAAACAATACTTCATGAGGCACATGCAGGCGTGTGCAGCCATTTTACAATCAACCAAAGTGCATAAAGAGGGGCAGCAGCACAAATCAATCATTTTAACTGTTTATCTTGTAGACGTCACACGTTGTCTTTGTGCACTTTGCTTTATTGAACCAAGTTATGAGATGGCAGAAAGGCATGAGGACATGCAGAGCCGTTCGGAGCTGCAAGCAGCACTCGGCAGATCCGAGTCAGGCGAGTCCATGTCAGCAGAATAAGATCTGAAATGCAGCACGCTGACAGAATGAGAGAGTGAGACAGAGAGAGAGAGAGAACAAAAGGCTCCATTTCAAGTCCTGCATGGTGAGTGCGAGTGTTGATCGAGCAGTCGGTGATTCATGCCGTAAAGATTGGAGGAAAACACAGCACAGGCTCATGAAAGCAAACCCACAGTCTTCCCCCACTATCTCACCTGAACAGGCAATCCCTCCACACAAACACACACACGCAAACACCCACAGCCTTTCATTCAGGATGCGCAAAATGAAAATACAGAGCACAAAAAAAGCTGCCCAACAGCTGAAGGCTTGACCAAACTGAAGGCTTTTGTCTCAAAATGCAGAATGTGTCAAAATAAACATCTGCATAAGGAGAAAACCCAGAATGTCTGAGGTTGTTTTTTTTTTTTGTTTTTTTTCCTATTTAAGAAGCTAAGACATTTATTTGCAAATGGTGAGAACAAAGTGAAACAAAGGGCTTAAAAGACTTTACAGGAGAAAGTGGAGGCATTCAGCAGAGAAAGTGATGAGAACTTGGGTTACAAGGAAAGAGTTGGGGACAACAGATCACTGATGTAATCAGGTGTAGTAAGGGGGACCACCAGGCCTGTATAATGACGGTTTAGCTTACCAAGTCTTATGCAGACATCTAAAACATACAATAGAACCAGATAAACTATGGCATACATTTATAATATTTAACAGAAGTGCCATAGTGTCACTGCCCCACTCTCATCACCTTGACATCAGTGACCCCGCCCTCTGCTTCTCCTAAAGTGATAACAAGAGGAACTGGAAAGGCTAAGGTGGCGGCTAAACGGAGGTCTTACACATCGAGCGTCGGTAGATGGCCTTGTCTTTGTCTTTGTCCTTGGATCTGTTCCTTATGAAAGGCAACCTCTTTATAGCTGTCCAAGCACAGCCAGAGGCAGGCAGACAGTCAGACAGGGAAGGGACAGCGACAGAACAAACCCAGAGAGGTGGAGGAGAGGAAAATAAAGAAAATAGGAGGGCAAAACAGATGGATGTCGTTAACGTCGGCACAACCGGAGCCAGGGGAAGACATGAACAGAGAACTTAGCCTCAACTAGGCAATGTCATCTAAAGCTGGACCAACCAGAACCAAAATCAGATTGTCCACTACGTTGATACACATCACTGGGCTGGACGTCACATGACAAGGTGTGCGACACATGAGAGCCATTGCTGTGCTACGCAAAGAGTCTGAAAAAGGGACAATATCTGCTATTAACTGTTAACACTACTGCAACTATAAGTCCAATGGCATCACATTTTGAGGATCATGAAAAAGTTTTAATTTAAAGTAGGAAATGGGTCAGCTATGCTAGCTTGATTGACCAAACTAACGCGCATGTGCTCCGCAGTTCGGTGTATTTTGGTTCAGTTAACACTAAGATAAGGTGACCCACACACCGAGTCCGACAGACCATCTGTAGAGCAGATGATTAAAAAGCTAATTAACTACTGCTGGTGTTCAGACAATCACTTATCAATGATCGCAAAATAAACATGAAGCCTGAAAAGCTGTAATAGACTGAATGTTCTGTTCTTTGTTTGGGAAATGTTTGCGAGTGGCTTTTGGTTGTTTTTTGGCTTTATTTTACCTTTCAATAAACAAAATCTGAACCAATTGTCCAGATTTTGGACAATACCACCACGCTTTAGTTCATAAAGCGTGGTGGTATTCATAATCAGTCATCAAATAAGATGAAATATTTCAGAAAGCATAGAAGCTAGAGTTTGCTAAATTATAACAAACTACTGTTCCTACCGTGGCAATTATCTAAAATGTAATTATCCGATATAAAAGAGAAAACGGACAGAAATCGAAATGTTTATATATTTACATCTATGGTGAATTCATATTGTACATATTAAAACTTCTGCAATTTTCTCAACGTTAATTTAAGCCATATTAGAAATTGGATAATAAATAAAGGCCTACAACCATTTTTGTGACACATTTGTGCTCATCTTGCATTGGAACACTGAGGTTTTGTGGATATGACTATGAATAGTAATGGCGCCTGTAGATGTGCGTCATTAGCATTAGCGGCTAATAAGTGCTGTCCAATCCAGTGATGTATATTGATGATCCAGTATCAGGTGTTTCAGTCTAAGCAAAAATGCTGTCCCATACTAAAGTATGGGGCAATGTAAAGTATATATATATATGTATATAAAAAATATCTAAAACTGGAAAAATTTTGTTCGGAAAATAAACATTAACAGACCACATCAAGTACTTTTTCTTTGTATTATAAATTGACTTATTAAATGTCAATTTAACATTTCCAGTTTGTAAATAAGACACATCCAAAATATCAATTTACTGAAATTCCACTTTGTTTTTGAAAAATCTCACAGTAGTTTAGAGGGCAGGCGTGTATAAATCTTACAAACAATGAATCAAAAATATAAACATGGTATTCAAATACACATTCACACACACACGTCGCAGCATTCTCACATTGACGATCCAAACCTCTAAACACCACTACATTACAAACTCCCTGCCAGACATTACCATTTTTCAACATGACTGTCGACACAGAACCACTTCTAGACGAGACGAAGGAGATGATGAGTATTAAAGGGTGCAATGAGGAGAGCTTCCAGAATTACTAGAGTGTTCCCAAAAATCCCAGACAAAGAGGAAAACGGCTTGGACATTTTCCAAAACGACCAGGGCTCCTAGTAAGCTGTGCTCTTAATCGGACCGGCTTAAAGACATTCTGTACATGCAGGTAAAACTCGATAGATTACCATGCATTCACTTTCAACCTAATTTGTTTCAGCAATTCAAATCAAAAAGTTAAACTCATTTGTTGCATATGAAGTGGAATAATTCAAGTGTTTGTTTCTGTTAGATATTGACAGTTAGTGAAAAGCAGTAGAAACTTTTTCCTCTTTAGCTCAGATTAGGGTGTTTCTGGTATTCTCTGTGGTTCAGAAGAAGCTAAGCACAAAAAATGAGACCGCTGTAATCTTAAATATCATATTGTGCTTAGTCACACAACATATTCAAGATTGTAGATATCATTGTTGATACCCTATTTTCTTAACAGCAGGTTTTCCTTCCACTCAATTTCCAATTGAATACAAAACTTTGCAGCTGATCAACTGTCAAGTAATTGGTCTTCTCTTTGATTGTGTTGGCCACATCATTCCATATCAAAAAACCTGTTTTTGCGATATTAAAACTTACTATTGTGAAACAGAATTTGGGGGTTTCTTTATTCATCAAAATCAGCTGAAATTAAAACTATTCAATTCACATAAGGAGCTTCGTTTTTGAACTGAATCACTGAAATTCATATTTACATGCAACTTTACTCTCGACTAAAAGTAAAACAGAAATCTTCAAGGTCATAAATCTACTCCTGTGTCAAAAAAAAACAACAACAAAAAAAACACCAACCCTTTTCTAAGCTGCAGTAACCTCTTGGAGACACTAAGTGAGAGGAACCACTTCTTGCACCCTTTAATAGTTTTAATGCTATGATAGAGCGTGATCCTCTCCCTCTTTACAGGTGAACTGCACGTATCAGAAGGTTAACATACTAGCAGCTTAACTCTTACTTGCATTTTTAGAAATGTTGAAAGAAGTAGACCAAGGTTGTATTATGGTGTAACTGGCTTCCAGCGTTTGAAGCACATGAGGTGCACTCAATTCAGCTTAAAATGGTGACAACCTGAACAACTCTACCAAAATAAACAGTCGAGCAACAAAGACACGGTTGAATGAAATTAAGGAAAGCCAGATCTCGATCTGGCTTTCCTTAATCACAATAGTTGTAATTATTTTAGTAGAGTAACTACTCTGACTTTACACTATTGTGAGTTTGAGTATAAAGTCCAATTTCCTTCAAATTATTGGGCTTTTTTGTTTGCCCAATGTTTACTTAGTCACAGTAGTAAAAACAGATAAACCAACACCTGTTGTAGTTAGTTGAACATTAGTAATTAGATGCCTCAGAATAAAATGTTGGCACTATTAAATTGATGCGGAATATCACTGAAAGATAAATTATGTACAATTTAGCTTTAATCCAAACATTTATAAAGTAGTTTACTAAAGATTTAAGACTATGCTTGAATATTTTTTTTTCCTCCTGCATGATAATTGTTACAGGTTTTATACCAAACTTTGGACACAGTGCCTTTTACTTAAATACTTTTTCCTTTATAGAGACTTCAATCTTTTTTTTTTTTCCTGTGGGGAAAAGATCCAGACACACTTGTCTAAAAACCTTTAAGCCAAAGAAAAAAAAAACAAGTCTTCCTCCTAATCCTTATTAATACTATTGCTATTTTCAGCATACTACCTGTAGCTTACAGCTTGTTTGAGAATAAACAATATGAATTCCGCTAAAGGAGAAAGACATTTGCTGCCAAGTGTGCAGCCAGCTGCAAAATCATCGTCCTATGAGGTGGATTACTAACTGATTAAGTATTAGACACTGTTGTAAAATAGATTTCATGACATCTCCCTTTATTTAATTTTGGTTACCATCAAAATAAGATTGAACAAATCCAGTGCACCTCATGTTGCTCCAAACATGAACGGCATCTGATTTCTTTAGGTCAAAAGTGTCGAGTCAGAGTCAACCTTGTCCTGCTGCACAGCTCAGCTGTAACTTCTATGAGTGACACAGACAATGGACTCACAAAGACATGCCCCGAGAGACATGACAGTCGGGTCATTAGCCCCGCCCACCCTCCCTATCCACGGCATACCATTGGACGAACCCTGACTTTGGGCATGGGAATGCTGCCCTCTCCTTCCTTCGCAGAGAAATAAAGAAGCAAAGGAGTGGTTAGGGAATAAAAGACTCAGCCATACTGTACAAACCCACTTGGAACCCGTGTGTTCCTGTCCTGCCCATTATTGATCAAGAAAGTGTGCGTTTCTTTTTGCACTCACTTATGCTCCTCTTTTGTGTGAGCGTGTCATCCAGCGAGTTGGACCCAGAGCCGATGGAGGAGCTGTCCTGGCCGTCTGGAACAAAAGTGAAAACACTTTCCCCCAGCTCCGAACGAGAGGGGGTCAGCGTGAGAGAGCGCATCCGCTCCCGGCTCTTCGGCTTCATCAACTTCTTCATCTTCAGAGTGATCCAGTTGCCACGCCTTTGACGAGAGGTCACAGAGGTGAAATGAAGACAGCAACAGGAGACCATAAGCATGTGGTAGATCATAAGTTATGACGCAACATAACATTTTCTTTACAGAATAAATATTTTTTGTTATACGTCAGATCTCATGTGACCATATGACATTGCTTTTTTTTTTTTTTTTTTTTTACCTGCGTGGAGGCGAAGGATCAAAGAATTTGTACTGGTCCATTATTTTCTCCTCAAGTTTTTCCTTCTGTCTCCTCAACTCGTTTAGCTTGTCTCTAAAGATCGCACAAAGAACAAAAAAGCAAAACAAAAAAAAACAGTGAACTTACAAACCAAACATCTTACAAGATTACAGTATTACTACCTTAAAAATGTCACATTTTTTCATCTTACAAACCACCAGCTAATGCACTGCATTGGGATTTTATGCAATACATCCACACAAAGTAGTACATATTTACATGGGGAAAATGATAAACGATTCATAGATTTCAGCATTTAAGCATATTCACTCTCTGGATCAATACCCTTTTAGAATTATACTCCTTTGCAGCTTCAAGTCTTTTTAGGCAGAATCACATCCAGGTTGGTGCATTTAGAGACTGAATTTTTGTCCAACATTCTTTGAAAAATTGCTTAAACCTTGTTAGATTAGATGGTTTGGAAGTACTCAACAGACCTGGGAAACAATTCCAGAAGCAGTATTTTTGTTATAGTGAGATACAGACAGTTAAAGCTGTAGAGTAACTGTTCTGTTAGTTTTCCTTTTTACATTTAAGCCAAAAAGTTAAATTTTGGTCTCATTTAACTCTTTTACAAGGACTCAACAGTAGACTATTCCACCTGGAAGATTTCTCCTCGCCATTCTAGCCACCATTTACAAAATAAGTGATTTCTGAAGGCAAATAGCTGTTGTATTAGTGGTATGAGATGCAAAATGTGAAAAATCCAAGGGGCACGGATGCTTTTGTAAGGCACCGTAATCCAACATTCACTCCAAAGAAAAAGACAAATGTATCTCTTGTTTTACATGTATTGTCTTTGCTCTACATGGAACAGGTCCTTGCTCTCCATCGTCTGCTCCAGAAGTGTGCGGTTCTGCAGCATCAGGGTCTGGATCTGGTCCAACAGGTGACGGTTCTCCTCCTCCAAGTTGCCTTTCAGCTGGCTCAACAGCTAATTCACACGAAAAGGGAAGACCGGCTTAAAACGGTAAAGAGATTTATCCAAAAGCGTTCAATAAAAATACACTTGAAGGTCTCGTTACCTCACACTGGTTGGTGAGTTTAGTGGAGGTGATGTCCAGCTGCTGGTATTGCTCCTTGAGTTTGGAGAACTCGGCTTCTAGCTTGGTCTGCTCCAGCTTTGCACTGTTCAGCTGGCTCTTTATGTTCTTATGGTCCACCTGCAGACTCTCGTTGTCCTTCATCAGTTGGTGATAGGCGGTGTTCAGCCTGGAAAGACAGCACAACAGACTCTTTGGTGGAAATGTGCATTTCAGTCACCCTGAAAACATCCCACTCGCTTTCTACTTCTAAATGTCAAACTTTTCCAGACTAAACAGTCCAGATTTCTCCAAATACTTCATACATTTTGAACCGTTATATTTCACAATTATGAATCGACAGTAAAAAAGTTGAATTCTGATTTGGTTGTGGGGGTTGATTTACAAGTACAGATTTAAATACATGAACATACTACATATAAATTTAACATTTTTTTGTTGTTTTTTTTTTGCCCCATTTCCAGCAGTTGGACCAGAAAAAGTCAACCTGAGCAGCAGCCAGGAAGCAGAAACTCCAAGACCTCTGAACCATGAACGAAACAGTCGACCTTTAAATTTTAGACCACCTGCATTTGTCTCTGGGTTCTTAGTAAAATTAGAAAACAAATTCATCAGTTAGATGGACCAAAAATCTGATGTGGAAAACAAAAAAACACCATTTACATGCAAATGGTCGAAAAAGATTAATTTTGTAGCAGTTTTTAATTTAACTGGGAAAAAAAAGACTTAAAACTGAAACATTTTCCATAAGCCAGTATTTTATAGCATAAAAAGCCTGACCTGTCGTTTTCCTCTTTGAGCAGTTTGCACTGGTCAGCTGTGGCTTGGTGGCTCTGATTCTCCTGAGTCATCTTGTCCTGCTGCTCCTTCAGGTTTTTCTCCAACTCCTCCAGCTCTCCCTTTCTCTGCAGGAGCTGCTTGTACCTGGACAGAAGGAAAACAAAATACAACTTAAAGACAACAATATTTTTTTTGTTTTAAAGTTCCTCAGAAAAATGACAGAATTGATTGAATATTGCTGTAGTTCGAGAGAAGCTCACTTGTCCTCCAAGTCTCTGTGCTGTTGCTCCAGGCTCTTATGGGAGGTCTTCAGGCCGCCGTGTTTCCCAATCAGAGCTTCGTACTCGGCCGCCTGCCGCTCGTGGAGCGCCGCCAGCTTCTCGTGATCCCGGAGCAGCAGCTCGTAGGCCGCCCTCAGCTCCTCCTTCTCTCTCAGCGCTCCCTCCCGCTCTCCCTCCACGCTGCTCTGCTGGCTCTGCAGCTGGGCGTTCTGGGCCATGAGGGCCGCACTTTGAGAGCTCAGGGTGGAGTTCTCCACCTACAGGACAGAGGTGGAGGAGCAGCACCATCACTTATAACATATGATTTGTGGTATATTTCAAGTGAAGATGAAATATTCAAAGCCCAGATCTCTGCGAATCAAACATTAAAACCCAAGGAAGAATTTATTTGAGTTTTTGCCTGTAGGGGGCACTGCGTCCGTGTGGGATAACCTCCAGCTTGGGAGAGGAAATAAAAAAGCGGAAGCAAGTTTCTTTATCAGTTTATGAGTTCCCTTTATGGCCACAGTGGTTTACCAGCCCAGTCATCACAGACAATATTTACACTCTGACAGACAGACTGGGTTCAGGTAAAACAGCAAAGGCAGCACAATGACACAGTATTCGCCAACATGCAGCGTGCCGTTACAGACGCACAACTCGCAGCAACCTACTTGAACATTTTCCAGATGCAGTAAGCAGCTGCCACACATAAGAAGAGTTTGAAAAGCTGCCAAACAGTGAGAGCAAACGTAAATCCATAGCAGGGAGCAAAGCTGACTGGCTGCACAAACACAGAAGGCGGGACGAGATATCTGTGTTATTTTTGATGTACGCTCCTGAACAGGCGCCACAGCACTACCATAATGTAACCAGTATGATACAAGGTCACATTAATGATAACCAAGTTATTCTGAAACCGGTGAAATGTTCGCAGAGACATTTTAAAATAAAGTCCCACTCACAACATTAACTGATTTGCATTTTGCTACAAAGTATTTCATCTGTGTAGCACACTAGATTGTGTTCAACTGGATTTTCCTTCATGAAACTTAACATGATCTTCAGTGGAAGGCAAAATAAGAAACGTTGACAATTTAGACCACTGTTAACGATAAAGACAGAACTTTTGTTGCTAGTGTTCCTCTTTAATTCCTGACATGAATATAAAACAACATTCGGGATGTTATTTTTGCTATAAATATCTATGCAATGGTCTGAAACAGCAGTGTGTGGGTCTGAATCATCCACACATACACCACTGACACAGAAATCACCAAGCTCCTGCCACTGTCAGGATTCTGCTGCAGGAATCTGGCAGCTTTGACACCCAAACATGTTGCCACCAGGAGGTTTTGTTTTCATATCAAACCAAATTCATCACAGAAAGAGATCCATTAAAATTGAATCATTATATACATGCCTGCCCTCAGAGGACGAAGGTTGTTGACAGTGAAAAGGCTGCAAAACTATTGGAGGACTTTGAACTTCATTAGTTCAAATCATTGTAAAGCACAAGTAGAAATAAAACATAAAAGTGTTTATTAAGCTGCTCTTGTAAGGGAAAAGAACCAGTATAGGACTTGAATGCAAAAACTGGTAAATACTTAAAAAAAAAAATTCTGTTCCTCAAAATACATAAGGAATATAGGCTAAACTATTTAATGTTGGGTTATTTCTGGTTTGTATGATGGGTTTACCTGCAGTTTGGCATTCTGCGTCTGCAGAGTGGTGTTGTTCTCCTGTAAGGAGGCGGTCTGCCTCTGCACCGCTACAATCTGTGCCTGCAGGTTGGAGCTCTGAGTTTCCAGTTGTTTGAGTTGGCTTCTCAGAGCCACCTTCTCAGCCTGCAGTGTAGCATTCTGAGGGGAAAAGCATTATTATAATGAATAATACAGAAATTTGGAACCGAAATGGAGGGCAAAAAAAAAAAAAAAACACACACCTGAGAAATCTAAGATTCATTTAAACTTACATTTCTCTCCACTTCAATTAGTCTGTCTTTGACTTTCAGCAGCTCCCTGGTGGCTTCATGGCTCTCCTTTTCCCATTTATTGACGGTCTGGGAGTTTTCCCCTCCTTTCGGGGGAGAGCTGTGCACCATCCTTTCCTCCTCCTCTCTCTGGCGAAGCGCCTCATAGTTCTTCTTTACCTGAGGTGAATCGAGTAAACCGTCAAGCTAAATAGCTAAATAGTCTAATAGCTGCTGCAGGAGAACATTTTAAGATGTTTTGAACTTTAAATTTCACGGTTTTGTTCTTGTAGCACGCTTATTTTCCAGTTTAGCTTAAAGTCTGCAAAGAAGAACTATTGTTTATATTTATTATAAAAGCATGGATTTCAATTTTGCTTACCGTTTTTAGCTCCTGCCGAAGTTGCTGGTTGAGGTTGGAGGATTCCTGTAATCGCGCCTCTAAAGCAGCGATTTTCTCCTCTTTGATCTCCAAAGATGATTTCAGAGTTGACTCCAGTTTGGTTTCAAGCAGCTTAAACCTGGGAATAAATAAAGGTTTATGTAGTTATGTGTTAAATGCATAAATGTATTACGACAATGTGGAGGGAAAAAAAAAAGGTAAATTATCATCTCACTAAGGAAGGGATGACTCTGGCTTGGAAAATAGAGAGAAAAACAGCCCTTCCAGTAAAATGGGTCATTATTCTGAATGTTGTAAAGGAGTTTAAATTTAAACTAGCCTTCAAAGATTTTATAAAGGCTGTGTCACAGATCAGCAATCATTGTGTACCTGTCATCGGAGCTCTCATCGTGCAGGAGTCTCTCTTTGTTCAGTCCAATTTTCTCCAATTCATGAGTAAGTTTCTCAAGGTCATTATTCATCTGCTGCGTCCGCAGTTTCTCACTCACAAGCTCCTACACACACGCACGCATGTGCGCGCACACACACACACACACACACACACAAAATAGTACATGTTAAGCATCTTCTAATAAAACCCCACATTTACTTAACATTTATATAAAAACAACATTAAATGACTAACGTAGAGTAGATCAGTAAAGCTGATTGTTTTAATTTAATCTGCTGAATCTTAACACATACATTAAAAAAACAAAAACAAACTCTGCTTACCTCTCTTAGTGTCATCAGTGTCTTCTTATCTATACTGCCCTGTTTGACCAGCTCTTTGTTCTCTTTCTCCAGGTCCTTGACTCTCGTACACGAGTCCCTGAAGAAGATCATCTCCTTGCCCATGGTGCGGTTCTCCTTCTCCAGGGCGGCGATCCGCTGGTTGCCGTCATCCAGCTTGGAGTCGCGGATCTCGGCCTGCTGCCTCAGTCGCTTGTTCTCCTTCTCCAGAAGCTTCTTATCTTTCTCCAGCTGGGAGCTTTCCAGTTCCAGAGTTTTGTTCTGTGAGTGAGACGGGACGCAGTAAAGTAAAGATGGATGCTAACTGCGGAACATTAGCGCAGCGACCGTGACTACGGCCTACCTCCTGCTCCAGCTGCTCCAGCCGTTTACTCGAGATCTTCAGTTCCTCCAGGTTACGCTGAAGGGTTTGGTTCTCCGTTTCCACCTCTTGCAATTCTGCCTCCAGCTGCTGGATCTTCTTGCTGCTGTTCTCCAAAGCCTTCTGAAGCCGCTGGTTCTCCGTGTCCAGACCCTGGTAGCTCACCTGGGAAACAAAAGTGTAGAAAAACTTGAACAATGCAGTCATTTTTTAACTGTTGTGTTGAAGAAAGTAATTGTGAATATTTAGACTTAAAAAAAGGCTATTTGCTGAAAAAACAGCATATTCAGAGCAGTGATTAAGCCAAAACTGTACTAAAATACACACAGGTTGCATTTAAAACAATATAAAAACAGAAATTTTGTAAATGTGCTCTACCCAAAACTCAATGCCATAGTTTTAGCTTCACCAGATTCAAATTCTGTAAATAAAAAAATTATATATATGTTTAATCACCTTTTGCTATCCAGATATTTAGTTATTCAAAAAATAATCAACAGGTCAGCCCTTCAGTATGTTGGTGTTGAGTTGAGCAGAAAGTGCTGAGCTTTTCACATTTAGATGTTACAGAAGTTTTTGTTTTAGATGGAGATGCAGTGTTTGTTACAAAACAGGTGTTAAGCATTTTAGGCAATAAATTATTTAGCTATTTAAAAAGAAATGTAATTGTTTATTTGCATTTTTCTATATTTCTAATATATTAAAAAGGCTTAAAAGAAAAATCTGCACAATGTGTCAATTTTTTAAGATCCGATTAATCGTCAAAAAGATTAATAAATTGACAACTAAAGTAATCGTTAGTTGAAACACTGATTTATTATGAGGAATATGATCCAACGAGTTTGCTTATTTTACAAACCAAGAAAACCAGCTGACATCACAGTCCAGGAGCAGCTCCTTGATGTGTGTTCATACCTCTAATCTTTCTGTTTTCTTAGACGAGGCTTTAAGCAGTTCCAAGCTGCGCTTCAGCTGGGTCCTCTCGCTCTCCAGCTCCCTGTTCTCGGCTTCCAGCTGAGCGGCCTTTGCCCCCGCTGACCGGAGCGTCTCGGTTGAGCGCCGGAGCTCCAGGTTCTCCTGTTCGAGCTGGCCGTTTTCCTTCTCCAGCGCCTCTAACTGGAAAGCCATATTTTTTAGAGCGTCCAGTTTCTTCTTTAGACGGCGGCCCTCCACCTCCAACTCAGAGTTCTCCTTCTCCAAAGAAGAAACCTGCAAGGAAGAGGTGTGAGAAGTTGGGAGATGCAAGTCTGAAACAAATGCATTATTTCTAATCTGGCGGGATGTCTTGACATAAAAAATCAAGACATTTTTTATGTCTTGATTCCCAAATTAAATGTAACAAATTCACATGTTTATGTCCTATTTTAAAGCTGTAGAGGCAAAGATTCCCTGTGAAATTTCTGCATACATTTCTGTTTAGATCAGACTTTAAAACATAAATGCTGCAAAAACCAAAACGAATAGAAAAAAAGATCTGCAAGTGACATCAGATACAGCTATGAAATAAACGCTCCATACTTTTTTCTTTTTCTATACCTGAACAATTATCAAGTCAAATTCTATTTTTTTTGTCTAGACTCCACAAGAACCCTGACTTTGAGAATCTACATTCATTGCATTGAGATTGTTAAACAAATCAAATCATTAGTAAAGTACAAAAATATTCCACAACCCAAGTGAAAATGTATGGATTAAAAAAAGTATTTAAAACGTAAGCAAACCAAGGTAATATAGCAATATGTGAGGAGATGGACCAGACCTTCTCGCAGGTAATTCCAAGAGTGGCAACTTTCTTCTGCAGGCTTTCATTTTCCCTTTCCAGCTTCTGCAGCCGAATCTCCAACTCTTCTGCTCTCTCACCTTTTTCCTTCATCAATTCAAGCTCCTTTCCTGCATTAAAAAAAATCACTTTTCAAAACACTCAAAACTCTTGTTAAAATGAAGAAAACAGAACTAAATACTATTCTCAGAAAAACATTCAAACCCAAAAATGTTCATCCAGCTGGTTACTCACGTAGCTGCTTCCTTTCAAATTCGAGCTTATTCAGTTTGCCCGTCGTCTCGCAGATCGACTCGTGAAGAACTCTGTTCTCCTTCTCCACGTCTTTCACGCGGGCCTCAGCTCCAACCTGGCAGCGTTGACGCAGCGAGGAAATGGTTTGGCTCAGGTGCTTGTTCTCCTGCTCTAGACCCTTCGTCTGCAGAGAACGAAATGAAGCTTTGATTTAATTGTGATTTATATTCTTAGTGGGATAGGAACAGTACAAGGCACCGATTTCCCAGCAGAATCAACACTACAAACACAAAAAACTAGGATAACTCTGCCGTTTGCCTGACCGACTGGAATAGCACAGCATTAGTTACATCTCATTATGTTTGCAACAAAGCCAATGGAGGCAGATAATCTGCGAGTGCGGCGTTCTGTTTGCTTTCCCCCCTGAAGCTCATCAAAGCTGGATTTAACGAATCAGAAGGTTAAACTAATCAAAGGTGTCAGATTTGGGTCTGACAACTGCAAAGACCTGGCCACACACAGTGAGCGACTCCATCTAAGCTGCAGACTGCAAGAAATCGGGATTCAACGAAGCATTCAGCGAGTTGATCCAAATGCAGATGTCTGAAAACTGTTTGCAGGAACAATCAGTGAAATGTATTTATTCTGCATGTTTTTGTGGGACATCTTGGAACAGTTAGCGAAAATTTTATAGGAAAAAAAAAAAAGTTTATATCAAATCTATTTGATGTTTTTTTTTTCTAATGTGTTAAATGTCAGTAGTCAAACATTAACTTTCTAAATTAAAGTGAATCCTACATGAGATTAGAGCTAAAAAGCCTTGAAGTCACTCTTTAATCAGCTAGATGTGTCACAGTTTTAACGGATAACAATCAGACTGTTCCGAACAATTACAAAATGGCTTCTGAACAGCACTGAGTGCGTGTTTGCATGCCCACCTGTCTCTCGGAGTTTTCCCTGAGTGTCTCCAGAGTCTTCTCCAACAAAGCCTTTTCCTTCATCAGGTCCGTACTCAGTGACTCGGCACTACGGAGCGACTCCCTATCCACCATTAGTTCATTCTCCAGTCGCTCCAACTGCAATAAATAAGAGCCTTTTATCTGTATTGTATATATACACTAATACAAAAGTAATTTAAAATAATTTTAATCTGTTGAAACAAATCCTGAATTTTTGGTACTTCAAAAGTATTTTTTTATTTGGCACTTAACTTTAAGCACAGAAAAAGTATCCACATGTCATTTTTAACCATAAAATGATTGCGATACAAATAGAAGAACTGTTTAAAATAATACCCCATTCTGTATGAATTAAATTCATAGTGAAACAACAATGAAATGAAATATGCTTATTTGTGAGCTACACGAATCCCAATAGCTGCTTCAAATTTAAACGCATCTTGGATTAAGTTTTTAAAGTCGCTTAGAAATTCCACAGGGTGGATTTTCCCTTTGAGGGAGATGAACTTAGTGGTATGTTTTTTTGTTCGGAGGGCACACAGAGAATCTTATGTTTCTGAAAATAGCTGCGAAACGTCTTTTAGCACAGGGTGTTCCAGAGTTAAAGGCAGTTAAACCATGTGGATTTACAGCTTTGCTTTCATCCTCCTATCCGCCCCTCTTTATCCTTGCCCAGTTTTACTTTCTCTGTGTCACTGTGATCTAAAGGTCTACAGTCAAGAGGAGGCATGTACATTATGCAGGGAGTGCTGGTGTAGCATGTTGGTTTTGCTGCTGAAGAAGAGAGAATTAAAGATGTTCTAGAAATAAAAACATCACAAATCCCGAAATGAGTCTGTTCTAAGAATCAAAGAAATTAAGGCTTACTTTCTGGTTAAGTTTCTGGTTTTCTTGATTGGCTTTGGTCAGTTTAGCTGTGTCGTCCTGACTGGCTGTCCCTTTGAGTTCCTCCACCTTCTTCAGCAGAGCTTGATTTTCTTTCTCCAGCTTTAACAGGCGACTGGAGGTCAGCTCATTCACCTCCTCGCCCAAAGACTTCTGCGGGGCTAAAATAAAGACAGAACTTCAATGTCTTTGCAAAATACAAGATGCATCATGTCTTTTGCCTTATTACTACTAAATATCAATAACTCAGATTAAATCTTGAGAGACTGTAATTCCACTAAAGCAAGCTTTGACAAACATCCACCTTCACAGAGTCTTTATCCAGATCCTGGGCTTGCTAAACCTATTAACAGCTCTTATTATCCAATTCCACAGCTTATCTTTCAGGAGTCACTGAATATTAATTACAGCACAGATCTTAACCAAGTGGAAAGAAAACCCTGTGGAGGCTGGCACATACAGACAGAGCCTGGAGGGACGATGCCAGGATTAAGGGCCAAAGACCAAGGCCTGGTCCGTCGCCCGTCTGCAGCTTCCAGTAGAGTGAACTCTTCAGTGTCTGTTAGCAGCTTAACTTTTTAAGTGAATGACTTATTCTTTATTTTCCCATTCTTTATATGCTCTCTGTTACTAAAGTTAAAACGATTAATTGTGATTAATCAATTATTGAATTAATCATCAAGTGATTTAATAATTGATTGATCATTAACTAGCATAGAGACTCCAAAAAAAGTAAGTTATCGA